CCTCCCCCAGCACAGCCAAGTGCAGACCATCTCAGACACCTGCACTCAGGCCCGTGGTCCTGATCATCCTATATGCGGACCTGCTGGGTCAAGCCACGAGGAACCGAAAACGGGCTCCCACACAGCCCCTTCCCCTCATGTGGTAAGTTGTCACCACTGGAAAGGACTCTGGTGCATATTGGGGTAATATGCTAGCACTTGCTCATGGAGCTTCAAGCAAGAGGTTCCCAACACTTGGGCCTCACTTTTTCCTGGTGGGCAAAGAGTGCTCACATACTAGGCACAGTTTGGCAAGGATTTCTTGACTTTTCAAAGTGCATGTGTTATCTATCCCTAGGGTGAGGAAGCCAAGAAAACGTTACAGCCTTCCTGGTAAGCGAGTCTCTCCCAGTGGCCTGGCTTCCATATCCTAAAGTTCTCCTGTGAGTGCTCATGATAAACTGATTATGCGTTCCCATTTCAGCTATTCTCACTGTAAACATTTTAAGACAAGCAGTCATGAAACAATATTTACTGAGCCACTGCTGGGTACCAATTCCTTTGTCAGCTGGGGGATAGAGCCACACAGCAACTGGACCAAACTTGCCTCACTTCTGGGAGGAAGACCCAAGGGGCAGCAGTGAAAGACACAAAAGAGGAAGAAGGTGACTCTCCTGGGATAGGATAGGCTTCAATCTCCCATAGGTCCAGGATATGCCTGGGTCCTGGCTTCCTGAACACACAGGTGGCAGCTTCATTTATCTCTTCACTGAACACCTGCATGGGAGTGGGCCCTGGCTAGAGGAAGTCCAGGTCTCAGAATGACAAATGACCAGCACAGAAATTTGATCTGGCAGGCATGTGGGACTGGATACTCCTGCACACTTTGTGACTCTGAGTTCTTCTTAATAACTTGCTTGAGTGTCTTTTTCATTACACAGCTGGTCAGGTGACCTCTGGATTCTTCTGAATACAAAAGTGGCATCTTGGCACCATATCTGGTGTGGAGAGAGTCTCCAAGAGGCATGTGGAAGAGGGCCAGACTTCTAACATTCCTTCTAGGAGGGCTCACAGTAGTGGACCTGACAAAAATCCCCTAGGTCCTCTTGCCACCCATTCTTAGACACCATTGATCTGCTTTGGGAAGTACAGGTCACCCTTCCAAGCAATCCAGGAAATGGGAGGGAGGAGTGTGCATCCACCTCTGTCAGCTGCTCTGTACCTCTGTCCACTCCTTGTAGGCCTCTGCTCCTTACAGGCCGTTTGAAGAATACTTGCTCTGTCACCTACTCTGCATCTTATACTTCCTCATCTTTTCCTTCTTAGCCTTTAACCTGAATGAATGGTTGTGACACTGTACAAACGGATCTGTCTCTGAGTCCCACTGTCCCAAGAGTGTGCCTTTTCCACTGTACCCACCCAGCGTGGCTGAGATACCTGGAGGAGACCTGTGGCAGACCCAGGGCCCACGGCAAGGGCTCTGAGCATGGAGTGAGGGCTGAAATCCAGCCTGTCCTTCTGCTGTCTGCTGATTCCAATTGTGTTGCCTGTCCCATTTTTAGCATTGACTGCCCTGTCTCCTGTGCTAACCATACTTGACCAGACTTTCAAGACAGATGTTCTACTCTTGGCTTCTTTTATCTTCCCCAATGGGCTTTTGAGCCCCCTGCTCCAGGCTTCAACTTCCAACGATGCTCCCTGGACTCTCACATTTACTTGTTTCTTGGTGTGCTTAGGCAAGAAGCCAGGGCAAGTGCTCTATCACTGAATTACACCTCAGCCCTGTACCCATTTCAGTCCTTTGAGCTCATCCGACTTACAAAAAGGTGTTCTCTCATCTCTCAGAAGACTAGCAGTGGTGGATGATGGGACTGTTCAGACCATAAAGAAGGCCCTATCTGCCCACATCTCCTTCAGTTTGTTCCACTCCCCTTCTTAGGGCCTCTGTAGAGCATAGAACAGGAGACACAGTAGATAAACCTCACCAGAGGTTAGGATAGGCACCCCCCAGAGTGCCCCCATACAGTGCATAGCACCTAGAAACCCGATTATTTCCTTTCCTGCTGATTATCAACAGTTCCACTCTCTCCTTGGGACTCAGTTTCCACTTTGTAGATTGAGCTGGTTGTACCAGATAACCTGACTGTGACTGCTTTTTTAGAATTCTCCCATATGCTGTGTGCCTGTCACACTGCCCAGGAGTGTTGCTGGCCTTACTTGCTGTAATTTGTGTGGTGCCCTCTGGGCCTATCAGCTCAGTGCTTGTCACTTGGCCCATGGGACAGTGAGGAGAAGGTCTTCTTGTTTCTAGGCATCAGAAATGTAAAGAAATTGTTATACTCTGGGTCTTTTGGATTTTATGTTTTACTTCCTTTTATCAAGACTTTGTAAACAAAATGGTGTAGGTTAAAGAGTTGCAACCTTCCATCTCCTTTATTTTAGGTTTAAAAGGTCAGCAGTGACAGACCAAGATAAGCTATTCTAGAGCCTGAAGCTTCCAGGATCGTGTGGTATGGAACATATCTTACAGCCTAGTGATAAGCAGCTGAATCTTACTTAGCCCATGAACCCAATGGAATGAGGAGGAGGGCAACCAGGTCCTGGTAATTGCTTGGCCCTTTCTTCCTGACTATGGTGCATTGAGTTTTGTTTCTGAAAAGATCTGTCCATGTCCTCACCCTGAAATCTGTAAGGGTGGCCTTATTTAGAAAAGTCTTTTCACATTTGTAATCAAGCTAAGTGGGGCCACTATGGTGGGCTCTGATCCAAAGGATCAAACTACTGTCCTTGTAAGTGAAGAGACATAGGCAGATATGCACATGACAAGGCCGCACGAAGACAGGCAGAGGTAGAGGGAAGGGTCTATCAGTCAAGTAACACCTAGATGGATAACACCAGAAAATAAAAGAAAGATCTGGAACACATTCTCAGGGACACATCCTCAGGAAACACATCTTCAAAGGGAGCTTGGCCTTGCTAATGTCTTGATTTTTGGAGTTTGGGCATCTAGAATTGAGAGAGGATACATTTCTCGCTCTCTTTTTTTTTCCCTGACCAGTGTGAGGAAGTCTGCTAAAACAGCTCCAAGACGTACAGACCTTCTCCTAATTCCCCAGGCTGCACTGCTGTGGTGTGTTCTTGCTCCCAGCCATTTGACTAAGGACAAATTCATGCTTTATGGGCAGCATCACGTCTTATCTCTTCATGTGGAGCCAGTTGTGTTGATAGGGAATCTGTCTTGTCTAGACTTCCTTAGTCTTATGACTCAAGCTGTGCTGCTTGCCTTTTTGCTGTGGAAGCAGAGGCTTAAGGGATCTTTGGCAACATGTTACTTCTTTTTGGCTCTTGCCCTGGAAAATTGTCCTCTGGTGCTAACAAATATAAAAGGACATTTTGTGCACCAGATAAATAGAAATACAATGAAGAAAGCCTGAGAGATGGTTCAGTGGTTGGGAGAACTTGCTACTCCTCCAGAGGACCAGAGTGAGGTACCCAACTTCCTGTAACTCCAGCTCCAGGGGATCTGATGCCCTCTTCTGGCCTCCACAGACATTGCACATGCATGCACATACACATAGGCACATCAATAGAAATAAATCTTAAGGAAAGTAAAACAAATATCATGAAGAAAAGTTGAAGACAATATGCAGAGTGCTGTGGAGGGGACTCACAGCACTGTGACCATGGTGGTCATTTGTAAGGCCTAATCACAGATCTATCTATGGGGCTCTTCCTGGCCCAAAGAGGGTGCCACAGAGCGTTGACATCTACACTCAGGCATTCAGAGGGATCTGGAGACGGTACAAAAGAGGCACTAAGAGTAAGTGAACGTGAAATGTTGGGCTTTGATTTTGTGGCTTTAGGACAAAGAGGAAGTCAATGATCAGAACTCAGGTACATTAGTGATGAGGACGTAAAATGCATAGATGCTGTAGAAAAGCAGTCTGATGGGGCCTTAAAAAGTTAAACATGGGCTGATGAGCTGGCTCAGTTGGTAAAGTTCTTGCCTTGCAAGAATAAGGACCTGAGTTTGATCTCTAGAATCCTTGTAAAAAAAAAGGCTGGGTGCTTAAAATCCCAGTATTAAGAAAGCAGAGACAGGGGGAAAACTGGGGTTTGTTGGTCAGCCAGACTAGCCTAATTGGTGAGCTCTAGGCCAATGAGAGACCCTGTCTCAGAAAACAGAGTGAACAGTACCTGAGGAATGATACTGGAAATTCTCCTTGGTTTCCACCTTACACACACACACACACACACACACACACACACACACACACACACACAC